AAATAGCTGCTGTGAGCAAAGCTTTCTAATGGGTGGCAGGGGAGATGCAAAGTCTCAATAAGATATCATGGTCACCTTTTTGCAGAAACTGGATAGATGGAGGAGACATGGGGGATTTTGTCCTGTGAAAGCTTTGATACCCCCATCACTGGGTCTAAAATGACCCTAAGTTCATCACACAAAGAATAATGAATTGCAACTTTTTCAGTTGCCCTGGAAACAAAAGTTCAACTTCCTCTAAAGGTCAGCTAAGTCCCCTTTATTGAACAAAAAGTACCCCTATCCCTTCTCCCTTTTCCCTCAGTCAGTCATTACTGGACATTCAGGGAGGAAACTGTAGTTGAAAAGAACAAAGAGAGTGAGATCTCAGCATTTAAAACAAGAAACGGGATTTCCTTTGAAAGGGCATCTCCTCCAAAAGAAAGTGTTTACTTTTTTTCCTGAAATTTACTCAACACCCAAGTGCGAAGAAAATCTTGTATATGTGTGTGGGGTGGAGGTACAGTTATGTCAACAAACAAATCAAAGCCAGGTAAAACTCGGCAAATAGACTAGAGAAAGCTAACAATTATAGCTAGGTTTTGTTGTTATTGTGGATGATGATGACCCTATTTAGAGTTTTCTTGGCAAAGATGGAATGGTCTGCCATTTCCTTCTCCAGCTTATTTTACAGATGAGGAAACTGAGGCAAACTAGGTTACATAACTAGTCCAGGGTCACGCAGCTGGTAAGTGACCGAGGCCAGATTTGAATTCGAGTATTCTTGATTCCAGACCTGGCGTTCCATCAACTATGCCACCTATCTACCCTAAAAAGGGGTCTTATTGTTGTTGAGTCATGTCTGACTCTATATGAACCCATGGACCACAGTGTCCTTAGGGTTTTCTTGGCAAAGATCCTGGAGTGATTTGCCTTTTCCATCTCCAGTGAATTAAGGCAAAGAGAGATTTAGTGACTTGCCTGAGGTCAGAAAGCTAGTAAGTTTCTGAGGCCAGATTGGAACTCAGATCTTCTTGATTCCAGGCCCAGCACTCTATCCACTGAGCCACCTAGCTACCTATACCTAGTTTAGGCAATGCTAAATAATATGCAAAAGCATACTTGAGCAATTTTCTGGTGTTTTCCTGTTGTGTGAGTGCCCCCACACAAATACCTTAGATGTTCCTTATGATAGCTTTAGCAGGCCTGATGGATTTTGGGGGTTAAGACGGGGAAGAAAAGTTCTGTGGTATCTCAGTTCATTCCAGGGACCTTAACCAGATGAGGTTGCTGCAGCTGCCAATCAACCACTGAATAGCTGCCCCCCCCACACTGTTGAAGCAATGAAATTACTTTTTTGTACATTGACCTTTCTATTCTGACATCTCCTCACCAATCATGAAGTGTGGCCCCTGTGAGTGAATCAGAGAGGGGTTATTCCACTTATTCCAGGCCAACCTCCCTGAGTCAGCCTATGGGGTAGACTTGGTTGCGTTAAGAAAAAACAGAGGTTTTGCTGTACTACCCAGACATAATAATATCCTCCATTCACTACTTTACTTTGCCTGGAGAGATGTAGCCTTAACACATCCCTTTGATGATTCCCTCCTAATATGACAGGAGACCAATATGGAAGAGAGAGGAAAGGAGTCTTTTTTTTTAGGTCATTTAAAAATGTTAAACAGTTGCTCAGGATGAACATTGGAGAAAGAAAAACAAACTCTAACCATAACTAACAGTCTTCAGCGCATGAGTCACTCACAGAATAGACCCAGGACTAACCATTTGAAACATAAGGAAAAAGCATTTAGGAGAATTCTTAGCAGGCAGTGGGCCTCTACGACGTTTGCACTTAGGTTAGGGGCTTAACTGTTTCAGCACCTGGATGGGGTCCAGGAGATTATGGGTCTGAGCAAGGAGGAAATTGCTTCTTCTTCTACAAGGCAGGGTTTCAGGGCTCTTAGGAAAGACACAAGGGAAAGATTGAGTTAAGTGTGAGCTGTGAGTGAGCTTTGGAAAAGATCGGGGGATTCCTCTTAATTCATTGCAAAAGGTGGCGGGACTTTGCAAAAGGGTAAATGTCCATTTCAAGAATTCCAGTAGTACAAGACTAAGAGTATGTTATTCACATAACATTATTAGGCATTTGCTTCCAATTTAAAGGGTAGTATAAAAGATTTGGAACTGGATTGAGTGTGGGGATTTTCTCTTTTCTATAATATCACCCTCAAGGAATCTATCAACTTCTGTCATTCAAAAAAAAAATGGTATTGGTGTAATGAGGGAAAAAGCTATATTTAGAGCCTAGGAGACTTGGGTTTGAGTCTTGGCCTGAATGTTTATCATCTATGTGACTCTGAGCAAGTCATTTAATCTTTCTCTGCCTCTGTTTTCCCAACTAAAAATGGAAATAATACTAGTTCTGCAGCCTATCCAGGTGTGAAGAATTTTCTTAATATTATAAACCTAGAGCTTTGAAAAGGATCTCAGGGGCCACCTAATTTGCATCCCCCACCCCATTTAACCAGATGGCCTCAGATTCTTTTCAGCGCATATGCCCAATAACATGCTCAAGATCACACAGGTTTTTTGTTGTTTTTCTTCAGTTGTAGCCCAACTCTGTGACCCCATTTGGGGTTTTCTTGGCAAAGATACTGGAGTGGTTTGCCATTTCTTTCTACAATTCATTTTACAGATGAGGAAACTGAGGTAATCAGGGTTAAGTGACTTGCCCAGGATGACACAGCTATGAAATGTCTCAGGCTGATTTTGAACTTACAAAGATGAGTCTTCCTGATTCCAAGCCTAGTGCTCTATCCACTGCACCACCTAGCAGCCCCTAGTAATCAGCATCAAGTACATGAAAATGACCACATGTTCAACCTGGCATTAGACATCTCCCCCAGATAACAGTAAACTCACACCTCTCCTTAAAACGAAAGCAGAATTTTGTGATTAGTATTAAGGGCAGTGTAAAATCAAGAATTGGAAACTGAAAAAAAAAATTCCAAAGATAATTAAAGCCATCCAGATCTCACTTACTACAGGCAGGACTTGCCGCTGGTCCACATGGTGGTTTTGACCAAAGCCTCCAGAGAGGGAGGAAAAGGAAGCCAGATTCAATCTAGGGTCTCAGAGCCGCTGTTCTGATTCCTCTCCCTTGACCAATATTTTCAGCGTTGCTGGCGGTCTGCTTATCCTCAGGCCAATCTTCCAAACCTTCCCCAGTGACCAGAATAAAAAGGAAGAAAGATTTTTTTTAAAGGTTTGGGGGAAATGGAGAAGAATAGGGCAGAGACCACAAGGGAGAGAGGAGTAGGGGAAAGAAATAGGGAGATAAAGATGAAGGTAAGAAGAAAAGGTTAAAAAAAAGAGACGTCTATAAAAAGTTCATGACTAGAAGGACTAGGAACTTAAGAATAACCACAAAGGAACAAGCAAATTTTTATGTCAATTGATGTACCTGGTCCTTCCTCAGGGAGGGCTTGGTTGAACTAAGCAACCAGACTGCATAATTACACAGATGGAGTTTGCCCCCTGAGATCTCTGGACAAATAAGCGTTTACCCCAAACGGTTAACTAAACGTGTAATATATAGGTAAAAGGCACTGGATCAAAGCAACATCCTAATAACTTAGAGGAAAAGATATCTTTCATATTCTTCTATTCTTCACTTTGGGGGCCTTTTATCATGGGAGCAAAAGTTGAGGGGTAATTATTATCATCAAGACAGCATAGGATAGTGGAAAATCCCTGGATTTGGAGTCAGAAGACCTGGGTTCAAATCCCACCTTTCTTACAGTCTCTGTGACCTCAGGAAAAGTTATTTTATTTTTCTGGCCCTCATTTTTCATATCTGGTCCAAACCAGATGACCTCTAAGGTCCATTCCAACTTGAAATCTTTGATCCAATGAAAATGCTCAATGACTACCCCCTAGACTTTCTTGCTGTTAGGGGAAGGGAGCCCACTGTCTCAGAAAAGTCTGCTGTGCCTGGAAATCACAACACCTTAATTTTTGCAGCAGTTTCATTTCCCTGGGCCTCAGTTTCCTCATATGAAAAACTAGGGCTTTGGTCTAGAACTTTTGGTTTTTCAAATTGTATATTTAGGTTTATGCTACTTGCCCTTCTGCAGGACTGTTATCTATGTTTTTGTTTCTCTTTACAAAGACTTCTCTATTAGCTGTGCTCGGAATAAAAAGATGCAAAACACCTGTAGATGCAGCTGGGAATCATGGCTGGGCTACAAGCCAGCCCAAACAGCCTTTGGGGAAAGGGTTTGAGACAATAAATATATTTATATGGTTCTTTGAGAGGTATTGATGTTAAGCCTCACCTCTGACACATACTGGCTGAATGGCCCCCCGGCAAGTCATCCCAGTGTCCCAGGCAACTGAGACTTTAAGTCCCAGAGGCTTTGTGGACCTGTTTATATGAGGGAGTTTCCACACCTGGCGTTCCCATTCATGAAATTGCTAGTCTCCCAAAACTAAATAAATGAGTAAAACCAGGGGAATTAAAACTTTTTCTTTACAAGGACTCTGTGAGGGTCATTGGAGCATTTGTTTAAATGCACCGAAGAGAACTGAAGGAAATTCAGGAGACACAGACAGGCAGGATAGCTTTGAAACTAATGTGTTGAATGTATTCTATGTTCTTAAAAACGTTACATCTAATAGAAATTCACAGCTTTATATACCATCTTCTGCTTCTGTCCTTTGTATTAGCAACTGCTCATATTTGTTGGTATTGGTCAAATTCAGAATAACAAAAAATACAAACTATTTTTTAAAAAGTGTTAAATTTTAAAAATACATGAATCTTGTTTGGTCAGTAGTATCAGCATCATTCTCCCTGTTCTATTGATGAAGAAAATGTGTTAGTCTAAGTAATTTGCCTAGCGACACACAGCTAGGCTAGACTCTGGCCTTCTAGCTCCAAAGGCCAGTTCAGTTCAGTGATGCAGTATATTTTTAATTTATTGACCTACTTCTTTTTGCTTGTCTGCTTTCCTTGCCAGGTGTCTGCTGGGTCCATTCTAGAAAGTGTGAAAGACCGAGTGATTGATTCCCAGCTGCAGCTGTTGATCACCAAGCCAGGCCTGTTCACTTGCATAGCCACTAACAAGCATGCGGAGAAATTCAGCACCGTGAAGGCAGCAGCCACCATCAGCATATCAGGTATGCCTGGCAGCTCAAGCTTGCACATTCACATTTTGCATTCATCCAGTGGTGAAAGAGGAGGGAAAGGATGGCTCTGCTTTGTAACCTCTTGCACCAGGAAGAATTCCCTTTCCCTCCTCTCCCTGTCCTATTTCTTCTTCTTTGGTTACACACTTCAGAGGCTGATATACCTGTCACTGGGGGCCTATGTATGGTTCCCTTGAAGGATAAGTCCTGGGGGAATCTGTATAAAGCCTTCCACGAAAAATGAAACTCCTTTAATGATTTTCATTCCACCTCAAAGTCATGTGAAAATAGCTAGAATCAGCTCCTCTTACCTTGCTTGGTGTTATGGAAACAGTCCAGGGATCCATGTTGTTGCTCAGCCATGCCCCACTCTCCATGACCCCATTTGGAGTTGTCTTGGCAGAGATACTGCAGTGGTTTGCCATTTCTTTCTCCAGCGCATTTTACAGATGAGGAAAGCGAGGAAAACAGGGTTAAGTGACCTGCCAGGGGTCACATAGCTAGTAAGTGTCTAAGGCCGGATTTGAATTCAAGAAGACTCATCTTCCTGACTCTCGGCCCAGCACTCTAGCTGTAGTCAACTGTCAGGTGTTCACTGTGGTGTTTCATTGTTAGGCATCAGGAGACCGTTAGTTTATAAGCAGATCCATCCTGGGCCAGAGCTGGAAGGGCTTTAAGAGATCATTGAATCCAAAGGTTCTTAACCTTTCTTGTGAGTCATGGACCACTTTAGTTAGCAGTCTCACCTTCTCAGAACAATATTTTCCAATGCATAAAATAAAAATACCTAGGGTTACAAAGAAAATCAGTTACATTGAAATATTTATCAAACTGTTTATAAAAATTAAGTTTGCAGATCTCAGGTTAAGAAGCCCTGATCAAGTCCAACCATCAACTTTAAACAAACCAGGAATCCAACGTCCAGAGAGAAAATGGGGCTTGCCCAGGGTGGCATACCTAGGATGTAGCAGAGGGAGGATTTTAACCCAGATCTTCTGCCCCCAAATCGAGAGTTCTTTCCATTACACCAAGGTGACTTAAGACAGCAGAATTGATGCACCACTGTGGGGAAAAGTGGTGGAATTAGCCTGGCAAAGGTGTCACAAAGAGGGGTCCAGGGGTATGTGTGATGTTTAAGGTTATTTTAAGGTTAATAAAAACTACCAAGAGGCAATGAGATATACCAGCTAGCAAGCCAACCTCAAAGTCAGGAAGAATTAGGTTAGAATCATACTCACTGGGTGACTGAGCAAGTCACATCATTTTTCAGGCTCTGGGCAAGTCTCTAAGATAATAATTGCAGAGAAAGTGCCAGTTGCCCTGGTAGCAAAGGCTTCCTCACCAGGAAGATCCCTATATCGGTGAAATCACAGGCCCAGTCTTTATGCCTATCCCAATAACAGTCAACAGGCATTCATTAAACCCTTTTATGTGACAAGCACTGTGGGGTAAAAGTGCTTAGCTCAGTGCCTGGCACATAGCAGGTGCTTAATAAATGTTTATTGACTGACCAAAAAAGAAAACTTAGTCTAGTGGTGAATTGTCATCCTTAGAACTAGGAATACCAGAGATTGAGTCTCACCTCATACTGTGAAACCTCGGTCAAGTAGCTTAACTTCTCTGTGCTCTCTAGGCAACCCTCTAAAAATATAAGTTGCTTGTGGTGCCATCTTGTATTTGTAGAAGGAATTTCTTCATCCAGGCATTTCCTGTACCAAGTAAAATCCCAGGTCCATTCCTTATTAAACAAACAAAAAAAAAAAGAAAAAAAAATTTCAAAATGGCAATGAGTATGGTGAAAGTAAATTGACCTCCTTTGAGTCTGGAAGACCTGGGTTAGAGTCTTGCCTCTGACAAACTGGCTCTCTGTCCATAGGAAAGTTATTTAATGTTGGTGCCCAAGGCAACTCTCTAGGGCTCTAAGTTACAGAGAAGGTATGGCCTGATTGGTAGAGGCCACAATGGATAGCGGTCTGGGCCTGGACTCATGGTACTAGTTGTATGACCCAGGGCAATTCATTTAACCTCTGCTCACTTCAATTTCCTCCACTCTAAAATGGAATTAATAATAGCACCTACCTCTCAGGATTGTTGTGAGAATAAAAGAAAATAGTATTTGTGAAATGCTTAGTACTATACCTGGCACATTTTTGTTCAGTCATTTTTCAATCATGTCCAACTCTTTGTGTCCCCATTTGAGGTTTTCTTGGCAAAGATACTGGAGTGGTTTGCCATTTCCTTCTCCAGCTCATTTTACAGATGAGGAAACTGAGGCAAGTTGGGTTAAGTAACTTGCTCAGGGTCACGCAGCTAGTAAGTGGTTGAGGCCAGATTTACACTGAAAGTCTTCCTGACTCCAGGCCTGATACTCTATCCGCTGCGTCACCTGGCTGCCCTATCTGCCACATAGTAGGCACTTAATAAATGCTTGTTTTTCTTTGTTTTAATAGTAAACAGTAATAAAATAAAAAAAAATAAATAAAAAAATAAAAGTAATAAATGCTTTGTTTTCCTCCCTATATCTACTGTCTGCGGCTTTAAATTGCAGTATAGTTGCTCCTTTCTGTGCACCTTGAGAAGAGGAGTTTCCTCCCCTAGTCAGACTTAATGAAACCACAGACCTAGGCCAAAACTAAAACAAAATGCAGTGATGTAGTGGAAAAAAGCTGGATTTTGAGGCCCCAGTTCTCCCATCCCCTTCCCCCAATGCCTCCTAGCTATGTGACATTGCTTAGGTAACAACTTTTCCTTGCCTCATTAAAAAAAAAAAAAAGAGTGCAATGAAGTTCTTACTTTCCTAAAGGCAAGGTTCTGGGACAGATTATTTCTCCAATTTCCTTAAAACCCCAAGCTCTATGAATCTGTGATATGCCTCCCCCATAAAGCCTCTCCAAGTATGAATGGGATTTCCAAATATGTAAAGTGTTTATGTAACAGGAAATGTCAGGCTCAGAAAAACTCACCTGATGCTCAGAGCATGTCTGCAAAAGCTCTGCAGGCCAGGTCTTTGCCCAACATGAACTCTGAGAATGCTGGTCTCCTGCCCAGCACCCTGGATGTTGCTATCTGTTGTTGCAATGATAAGGCAGCCGTTGACTTCTCTGCTCTGCACAGAGGATGAGAATTCTCTTCGGATGTCCTGGCTCTTCTGAGCTCACTGGGCCTCCCATCAGTGTTGGGGTCTAAGGAAGGGGCTCTTCCAGCTAATTTTGTCCCTTGAGATATGGGGTATAGTGATGGTCCAGTATGAACTAAGGAGTACTGGAAAATGAATGGATGGAATAATCATTTATATAGCACCTACTATGTGCACTGTGCTTCATAAATATCTCATCTGATCTTTATAACAAAGCTGTGAGTCAGATCCTGTTATCATCTCTGTTTTACAGTTGAGGAAACTGAGGCAAACAAAGGTTAAATGACTGGCCCAAAGTCACACAGCTTATTAGCTGTGCCTGGGGCTAGAGTTTAACTTAGGTCTTTCTGACTCCAGGCCCAGAGCTCTATTCACAGTGCAACGAGCTGCCTCAAGTGCCTTTTGGATCCACAAAACTTTCGTCTCCAGTAAACAGTTCAGTGTTCATTCGATAAAATATTCATTATGTTATTCCCACAGTAAAAGCTTTCCTCCCACTTAGGTAAAGCATGTCTGTCTCTGTCTTCTCCAGGCATCCCCTGAATTGTCGTAGAACTTTATACTGGGATATTAACTCAAGTCTTTCTAAATGAAATAGGTAACAGAGTTGGGCACTAGAACACAACCACGCATCTTTCCTCCCTCCAATCCCCATGTGTCTTATTTCACACTTAAGCAGATCAGATATAGTGGAAAGAGCACAGACTTCCGGACTCAGAGGACCTGGATTCAAATCTGGTCTTGGAAGCTTACTACTTGTGAGACCTTGGACAAGTCATTTAACTTCTTTGGGACTCAGTTTCCTTATCTGTAAGAGGAGAGGGTTGAAGTAGATGGCCTCTGAGGCCCCTTCCCTCCAGATCTATGAAACCTAATGCAATATAATGTGAAAACAATACCTCTGAACTAACACATGAAGTTGACATGTCATCAGATTCATGTGGGAAAAACAAGGTTTTATATATATGTATGTATACATACACATACATGTGTGTATGTATATATACACACAGATGTACATATGTGTGCGTACCTAGACATGTGTGTGTACCCATGGGTGTACATGTATACATATATGTAAGTATTTTATCTGTATGTATATATGTTTAACCAGGCCGCTCCTTAAGAAATGGGAGCCTGGTTTGAGAAGATGTCCCTATACAAATATTGAATGAGATTACATGATGAAGCGGATAGAATGTCCCAAATTTTAATCCCGCCTCTGATATTTGCTAGCTGTGTAACTGGGAAAATCACTTAACCTTTCTGAGCCTCAGTTTCCTCCTCTATAAAATGGGAAGGTTTGTTCCTTTAGTAGCTACCTCGCAGAATGGTTGCTTCTCTTTTCTTTGCTCATTCAGCTTCCTCTGGTAACATTTTTGACATGAAAGAACTTATTTAGAACCCCAAAGCTCTAAGATGAGAACAGGGAACTCTAGCCAAGAAAGTTGCTTAGAAAACAAAAGAGAACAGTAATTTTTGAGAATGGTGACTTCAGTGAAGCTTTCTGTTCTCAGGGAAGTACTGAGCATTTTTGAATTCAAGCCATTTGGAACTCATTGAGGGGCAACTTCTCACTCCATAGTCAAGCAGCAGGAAAACCTCCCTTTCTTGTTCACATAGTCCAATGAGATCAAATTTGTAAAATGTTTTGCAAATTCTAAAAACACCATCTCATCAACCAAGATAATAATATCATTTAATTTGTCACATTTCCCCACGGAAAAGGCAGTGACTTAGCATGTGCCCTGGGTAGATTTAGAGTTACTTTTATCTGCTGCTATCAAATGAACAAAATGGCAGACCCATCAGACGTATAGGCTTTTTTGTTAAGGAAGTGACTCCTATACCTAACATCATTTTTCCAAAGTGATGATGCATGCAAGATGATGTTGAAAAAGTCAGATGAAGATCTTTTACAACCTTCTGTCTTTGGATGTTTTTGTCCATTTTTCACATTCACTCTACTAGGGAAACTGGAGATGAGAAAAGCTAGAAGCGGGAGGTCCTTGAGAAGACATTTCTGCCTGGGCTTTTTTTTTGTGTGTGTGAGTGTTTGGATGCCAACAACAATAATAAAAATAAAACAACTCACTTCTCATTAGGCATTTTCCTCCTGGTTTCCCAGTCCCGGTGTATTGCCTGAGGGAAATTAGATCCACATGTTCCTGACACATTCCCATTTGTTGTAACTCATCAAAAGGTTCTTTCATAAACATGACTTGGAGTGTGAGAACCTGGAGGAGCAGCCTCTTGAATCCCTTTGAACCAGGAAGTTACTTTTCTCACCCTTACCCTCTCTTCCCTAAATCCCAGCCCCTAAAGGCTCAAGTTGCATCCTAAATTTGGAACCAGGTCAATGTGAAGGGGATATTTGGCAAAAAATGTTCTCCTTGTCCTCAGGAGAAGCACTCGTCTGTCTGACGGAAATACAGTGGGATCCAGGAGGGAAACAGCATAATATAGGAGAAAGGGTACTGGATCAGGGGTCAGTAGACCCACGTTCTAATCTACTTCTACTACGTATTAACTATGGGACTTCGGGCAAGTCCCTGGACCTCTCCTTATCTGTAAAACGAGAGGATTGGTTTTTGAAGGTTTTTAACATGGATCCATGGATAGATTTCAGGGTATCCATGAACTTGAAAGGGAAAAAAAAATTACATCTTTATTTTCACCAGTCTCTAAGTGAAAACTAGCATTTCCTTCAATTATTTAAAAATATTATTCTAATACGGGATTTTGTTTTAAAAACTATTTGCTGTCCCAGCCAATGCTAAAATGTCATGGCCGCTGCCCCAGCACCATTCGTTGCTTGCCAGCTACCCTCCAGAGCAAAACTCAGGGGTGGGGGATGTCATCAATCTGCCCCTTTCTGTCTAAAGGTGAGACCTCCCCGAGCCTGGCCAGGATGTCTAGGGAGAAAGCATCTGTATCCTTCCTGCAGAGTGATCCCAATCCTCCACCTCAGCACCCTGCAAGTCCAGAAGTCAATCATGGTACTTTTGAATTGGCCAAACTAATATAAGAAATGGGAGATAAGCTGTATTTTGAATACCTAGTTTATATTTTCCAGTGCAACCTGAAGCTGACTTGACAGATGGCTTTAACACTGAAGACCCTCAGTATGTCCACATTTCATCAATAAGAGATTGTAAAAGGGTTGAGTAAAGAAACTTCTTATGAGGCTTAGAAGGAGCTTTTCAATGAATGTTTTTAAACAAGGAAGATCCATGTCAGAAAACAATTTGCCTTGGAGGTTTATCAGGAACCATTCTTTTTTTTTTTTTTTTTTGGTGAGACAATTGGGGTTAAGTGACTTACCCAGGGTCACACAGCTAGTAAGCGTCAAGTGTCTGAGGCCGAATTTGAAGTCAGGTCCTCCTGACTCCAAGGCTGGAGCTCTATCCACTGTGCCACATAGCTGCTCCCTGGAGCCATTCTTTTCAACCATAGAACATCATCAATGGCAAAATCCACTAAAAACCACAAGGATGCTGGGAACAGGAATTTTTTGTTCCATTTCAGCATTTTTCACCAAGGTTCAGTATGGAAAACTAATGTGAACATGAATGAATGCTACTTGTCACTACAAGCACAAATAAAATATCTCTACCTTGTGAACAAAGTCTCAGCTCTAAAACAACAGGATTTTTACTTACATCTGCTTTATGTGACTTGCCTAGGGTCACACAGCTAGTAAGTGTCTGAGGTCACATTTGAATTCAGTTCCTCCTCACTCCAGTGCCAATACTCTATCCACTATCCACTCTATACACTATCCACTATGCTTTAACGTGCTGCATATATTGAAAGACCAGTGATTTCCAACTGCATGTGTACGTAAAGAACTGGTTTCTTAACCAACAGTAACATTTTAGACCTCACCTGAACTCTCCGTGAAATGATGACTGATTACTTACACAAAGTATATTATGAATTGGACTAGCTTAGTTTCTTTTAGATGTAATTAGTACATGAATTTGAAAGAAAATGTTTTTTTGCAAGAAAGGCTATTGTCGGTTTAAGAAACAGGCCAAAGATAAAATTTGACAAATTGGTATTGCAGGCAGGAATTGTCTCTTCCCCCCTCCCCCAAACTCCTCATGAAATCTCTGTATCTGAGTTGTTTGCTGAACAATAGGTTATATTTAGAATCTGAAATATTGAGGAAGATGTTAATTGCCAACTTTAAAAGTTAGATACCAAAGGCAAACTTCCCCGCCTTTTTTTTAATCATCAAATAGTTTTCCTCCAGTGACATAACAAAGCTGAGCCTATTTTGCTGACTTTTCCAAATCAGCTCAGAAATTCCAAATGGTAGCTCTGTTCGTTTACTGGTAACAATGCTTATTTCCACATGAAAGAACTTGTTTAGACTCCCAATATTCTGGCATGAATAGAGGGAAGTGTGACTGAGGAAACTGCTGTGAAAATCATAGAGGAACATTAATTTGTGATGGTGGTGACTTCTGAATAGCTTTCCATTCTGAGGGAAGTATTGAACATCTTTAAATTGAGGCCATTTGCTATTGCGGGGCAATTTCTCATCATTCCACAGCAAAGCAACAGGGTAATGGACTAAGACCCAAAACAAGGCAGAAAAAAGAAACTAAACCACAGCTCTGAGGTATAAAGAATTTTCTTGCCTTGCCCCCAACTACGCTCTATGATTTTGAGGAGAAAACATAAGTTATTTTTTCTATATATAATTCTCTCTACTTCTTAGAAAGTCCTGAACTTCCTCTACAAGCTTAGTGAAAAGGAAATGAAAGTATCAATAGGGAAGCAACATGGTATCATGAATAGAAAGCTGGCCTCAGAGTCAGGAAGACTACTGACTCACATTGGTGGGTAAGCCTAGGCAAGTTACTTAACCTCTCATTGTGCCAAGCAATGTTTTAGGATTCTAAGATTCATGAAAGGTGCTACTCTGTTTTGATAAAGGAAGTTCCTAATCAGGAATTCCCTATGTGGATGATATTACAAGTCTGGTAAAAGATGGAAGGAGAAGAGTAGAAGTAGAGAGAGGTAGAGAGAGAGAGAGAAAGTGAGCTCACGAGCACAAGAGTTAATAAGTAGATAGCTTATTAGATAAGGGAGGTAAGAGTCATCTTTGTGGGAAATAAATGGAAGTTGAGGGGCAGCTAGGTGGCGCAGTAGATAGAGCACCAGCCCTGGATTCAGGAGGACATGAGTTCAAATCTGGCCTCAGACACATAACACTTAACTAGCTGTGTGACCCTGGGCAAGTCACTTAACTCTATTGCCTGGCCAAAAATAAATAAATAAATAAATGGAAGTTGGTAGCAACAGATCTAGCATCTCTTCAATTCAACTCAACAAGCATTAAGTGCCTACTATGTGCCAGGCATTGAGGATATAAATATGAAAAAAGAAATAGTCCTTGTCCTCGTGAAACTTAGGTTCAATGGTTTCTTCATGCTTGAGCCTATAATGCACCTGAAGTCTTCAGTAGTTCTGAAAGGGACTGCTGCTCATGTTAGACAACAGAATGACTCCAGGGAGGAAGGATACTGTGGGCTTCAGTGCTGCCAATGTTCACAATTGTGGGCGCAATAACTACATAACTTCTTGTTTTTCCTCCCCTTCCAATGATCACCCCAACTTTATTGGTGAAAAATACCTGGTGGTGGGGAGAATAGATGGAAATTAATTCTACCTACAAAATCAGTATATACTGATGACACTAATGGTTGACTCCACCCACTGATAACCATCCGATCATCAAGAATTTGGATGCCCAATACTTTCCCACTGCTCCTTTTCCCCCAAACTCACATGTCAACCTAGGGACAAGTCTTAAATGTAACTGCGATCATAGGAGACCTCAGAGGCCATCAAGTATAACTTCTCGTTTTACAGATGAGGAAACTGAGGCCCAGGAAAGTCAAATGACTTACCTGAGAGCAAAAGGAATATAAGCAGCAAAAGCAAGATTTGAATCCAGGTCCTTTGACTCCAGAGGCACTACAATTTCCATGGTGACCACATCTTGTAACTTAGAGTCAAAGCTTCTCAAAAGTTAGAAATTATCTAGTGGTAATAGGACAAAGGAAGTAAGAACTCACTAATTCTTTTTCTCTTTTCCTCCTTCATCTGGTGGTTGCCTGTGGGGCCTTCCTTTCCTGTTCACATAGCATGGAGGTAAGAAAATTGCTCAATGACACCCATATTCTTTGGGTGGCAAGAGTCTTTAAAATGCTTTTTGTTCCTCTTCTCTTGCCACAATTTCAGCTCTGAAGATGAATAAAGAAAGAAGATTAAAAGTCGTAAGATAACTGCACATTTATCATGGCAGGATCATTCCTAGTTTCTACCCACAGAGTTCCCATTCATTCATGGGCACCTAAAATGTGCATAGCACTGTGTTAGGTACAGTCAAAACTTTACACAATGGTTTTTCTCTTCCATGAACTTACAATCAAATTTGGTAGCTAAGGATGTTAAATTCTATCGTACTTACCTTGATACATCCATGATCTCTATGTGATTTAGTGGAGGTCTCAGAATGGGGGAGACCTGGGATGGACTCTCTGCTCTGACTATTGAGAGTGTGACTCTGGGCAAGTCAACCAGTCTCCCAGCCTTGGTTTCCATATCTATAAAATGGGAATAATAATATTTTCATTGCCTACCTCACAGAGTTGTTATGAGAAGGAAAAAAAATGCTTTGTAAAAATATTTTTAATTAGAGAACCAAACACGATTTTATTCCCCAGGATATAAATGTCACCAAAAAGTTATTATAAAATATTGATAATATATTTTGGGCCAATGAAGCCATTCTGACATGCATATCCTTTTCTTTAAAATTCACATCCACAATAGCTTCTTCCTCAAAATCTCTGTATTTTCTTATTCATTTCTAAAACCCTCTTCCTGATGTTCCCTTTTATGTCTCATATTATTTTTTAAAAATTAAAGCTTTTCTCATATACATGATACTTACTAGCTGTGTGACCCTAGGCAAGTCACTTAACCCCATTGCCTCATCAAAAAAAAAGAAAATGTAAAGCTTTTTCCTTGCTCATCATCATGACTTTCCAATGTCTTCCCTCCCCTCAAAGAATCCTCCATAATAAACTTTAAGGCTGATTTCTAAATAAGGTCTTTTTATCTTGTCAGGATGGGTAGTCTTATAACCCCTCCATGCTTTCTCATCCTATACCATTCTTGCTTGCATTTTCCCATATTTCCTCATATTAGAGGCATCTGAATTAGCATTTAAGAGGTACTGAGCAGTACTTGGGCTATCCATATGTTAATAACAAAATGAGTTTAATGACAAAATGACAACACCAGGGCTGTGAAAAAAAAAGGCAGTATCATATTTAGGACCAAATGAGTGTCAGCAACAATAAATTCCCTAAGCTCTTGTCTCTTCCAGTTGTGGAGCTAAATGTAAAGTATTGGATGCTCTGCAGGCATATGAAAAGGATTTAGGGGAGAGAAGCAAGGACAGAAAGCATTATTCTATGCAATATCAAAACAAGGAAGTAACCTAGTAACAGAAAGATGAAGAGAAAGTCAAAGACCCATGGATACCACTGAAAATACTAGAAACGCTCATTCAGCAAAGCCAGCATCGGTTTGTTGTTCCCTAATATGCAACCACTAGATTTGGGGGATGGGAAAAGAGAGCAGTGAGGTAAAAGATAATGGTAGGTAGGAAGCCCTGGAAGGGCTGGTGAGCAACAGTTAGAGAGTAAGGAAAGAAAAGCTAACAAATAGTACCACTGACCATTCCAAAATAGCAAGCATGTTGTGAACTGATCTCTGTGACCTCCGTTCAACTGGTGGAATGAGCAACAAGGACAGCTGCTGTGCATACTGCTGCTACCCGGCTCCCTGGCAGAGACACTGAGTTCCACATAGAAGATCTACTTTGATTGGGCAAGGATTTGGCTTCTTTTCACTTTGCAAATGACAACTGTGGAAATCAATGGGAATGCTTTGCATTCATTTTCTGTCCAAATCCTGGCTAAGAGCTATGAGAATATTAACCTTATAGTGTATGGGAGAAGGAGAGGAGCTAGGGAATTGCACTGAGTGACCCTTCAAGGAAATTGATTATTGAGTTTCCCTTAGTGAGCTGTGAGACTGGAGCCTTAAAGACCTCTTTATATGGAAAGGTAGGGAAGAGGGGTAAGGTGAACCTCTTATTGGGGGTGGCGGGCGGAGGCTCAGGCAACTAGGAAGGACATCTGAGACTGTGGCCTTGTAACAAGAGGACTGCTTCCTGACCCCTTTCACAAGCCCTGTGGAACTGAACCAAGCACACAGTGTTGCAAGAAGGTCCATAGAGCAAAGGAACCAGATAGTGGTTTGGCCAGGTGCCGTGGGGTTGTATAGCCAGCCACTAGGAACTAAAAGAAGCCCAAGCACCCCAGGTCATTTTTGGAAAGTTGTCACAGAGATTTCCTTTTGATTAAGGAGAGACAACAACACATTGCATGGAATGTGGATGAGGGGTAACTTGATTCTGAGTAGCAGAGCTGGCCCACTGTGGTACCTTGAACAAAATCCCCCTCATTTCTTTCTGACTCAGCATCTTCACTTTAAAAATGAAGATGGCAACACTCATTCTTTGGTCCCTTATTATAACCTTTCTTGGTCAGAAAGATCCATTTTCTACAGGGGTGGGGGGGAGATGGAGAACAATCTAAGTCATTTACATTAAAGTCACTTTCTGAATATTTAGATTGTACTACCAAATTTCTTGCTCTGGAACTCCATATTTGCAATGAGGCACAGAATCTAAGAGTCAGAAGGGAGATTATAGACTGACTCATCGCACCAGAATCAGAATCCCTTTTACCAAATCCCAACAAAGTATCATCCAGCTTCAGTCTGAGGACCACCAACCAGAGCGACCCCACTCATTCCCAAGGCAGCTCATTCCACTTCAGGATAGATAGCTATAATTACTTAAAACAAACAAAAAAGATTAGCCATGCCTGAAATAAATCTGCTTCTCTGCAGCTTTCACATGCTGCTCCTAATTCTGCCCCCCTCTAGGACTAGACACGATAAATGAAGTTCCCTGCCCACATGACAGTCCATGTCACGATGTTGACCCATGACTCTGGTTGTCCCTCAGGCCTGGAATACTCTTCTTCCTCCACTTCAACTACTGAACCTCCCTGGCTTCCTTTAAGTCCTAACTAAAATCCCAGTTCTTTCAGAAAGCCTTTTCCAATTCCTCTTAATTCTAGTGCCTTCCCTCTGTTAATTATTTCCTATTTATCCTGTATATAGCTTGCTTTGTATTTATATGTTCATATGTCTCCCGCATTAGAATGTAAGCTACAGGAGGGTAGGGACTGTCTTTTGTCTCTTTTTGTATCCCTAAAACTTGACACAGTGCCTATAGTAAGTACTTGATCATTTTTTTTTAAATTGAATGTTGAATCTATAGTCCACAAAAACCCCTAGATAGTTTTCAAAAGAACTATTGTCTGGCCATACTTCCCCATCCTCTATTTATGAAGTCATTTTTGTTTTCGTTTTAAAACCAAGAACTGAACTTCACTTTTATTCCTATTAAATTACATCCTATTTGATTCCTCCCACTGTTCCAAACTGTTTGTATTTTTTGGACCCTGGCTCTGCCATCCAATATGTTAGTTCAGGTTCTCAGTTTCCTGTCCCCTGCAAATTTTACCAGCATGTATATATGCCTGCATTCAAGTCAGTGATAAAAATGTTGAACAGAGCGGGCCAAGGGCAGATCCCTGGATGAGTGACATTTCTCCAATTTGACCTCAACTCATTAATGATTTTTCTTTGGGTCTGGTCATTCAAATAATATCAAATCTACCTAACTAAGAGAAGAAGATGAATCTCTTCATCTTATCCAAAATATACCATGAGATATTATTAAAGGTTTTGCTGAAATATAAGTGTATTTTACATTAACTGCATTCCCCTTATCTAGTAATCTAGTAACCCTAACAAAAAAGAAAATGAGGTTAGTCTGGCATCACTGTTCCTTGAGTAAACCTGGCTGACTTTTAGTGTTCACTGCTTCCCTTTCTAAGTGCTTAGCTACGATTTCCTCAATAATGTTTTCCTAGAAATCTTGCCAGCTATAGAAGTAAGCTTATTGGTCAGTAATTTGCAGATTTCTCTCTTTTTTTTTAAATTAGGAAAACATTTTTCCCTTCTCCAGTGCTGTGGCTCCTCTGCCTTTTTTCCAAAATCTGTCAAAGATCACTAACTGCTGCTCAGTAATAGTATCTGCCAGTTCTTTCAATACTTTAAGATACAAATCATATGGGGATGGTGACTGGAACTCCTTAAGAGCAGCAAGATGTCATCTTTATCTTTGGGAAACTCAACGAATATAGCAATATAGCATCTCACTCGGTTACGTTAAATTATGTTTAATTTGAATCTATAGCCTGGTATGCAAGAACTTTCACAATCTGGCATTTTCTTTCAAACCTGTCTCACATATATACTGTCCCCTGTGGCCAGTCAGTTACTGTTCCCCATACATTCCCTGCTTTTTTTCCATCTCTATAATCTTTTCTGTCCCTGCACTGTCTTCTTCCTTTTCCCCCATCACAACCTCTTAAAATTCTACTCATTTTAAAATCACACCTCCCTCAAAAAGTTTTCCCTGATTTTTCCAGTCAAGATCTTTTTTATACCACTTGGTATTTCCCTTATGCAATTATATCAGATTATTTTGTATGATAATTATTTTTTCATGTACTGAATCCCCCTACTGGATGGTAAATTCCAGGAAGGCAGGAGCTATCCCTTATCTAAACTTTGTTTCTGTTCCTTACCTCCTTCATGTCCTATCATAGTATCTGCACCCAATAGAGAGACTGGATCTATATCTAGAGCTCTGAATAAGAAACTTCCTTTACTAATACCTTCTTGGCAACTTATGGTCATAGAGAGTTTCATAGAGTAACTAAGAGTTTAAGTGACTTGCTGGGACCACACAACTGGGAAATGTCAGAGTTAGAACTTGAACCTAGGTCTTCCTGGATCTGAGGTCAAGTCTCCATGGAAATCAATTATATTGAAACACAGTTATCAATATAGAAAAAATCAAGCTTATGGACCTTAAGTAGAGAATGCTTTCATGTCACAAATATTGAATTGAAACAAATTCTAATCTTATATGTAAAATGGTGAATGCAGTAAGTAGATTATGGCACTGCTTTTTTTTTTTTCCGCTCTCTGGTTTTTCTCCTGCCTCTAGGATACATATTTGGAACAAAATAGTCTGAATGCCAAGAAGTAGCATGTGCTTGGGAACTTTGTTCATTACTTTTTCAGTAAACTGCACCAAGAAGATCCAGGTTACTGCAGTACCTATAGAGGTGAGGTTTGTGGGGCTGTCTTGGCAAAGGATGCCCTTGTTTTCTACAACTCCACCTATGGGGACCCAGAGGACACCCAAGAGTTTCTCGTCCAAACCATCTGGAGTGACTTGAAGGAGCTGAGTTCACTCTGTCGGCCAGCTATGGAGACTCTGCTCTGTAACCACATCTTCCAGGGCTGCAACCCTGCTGGATTTATGCCAGCTCCTAAACCTTTATGCCGGTAAGAGATTTTCCACTGATTGGTATGTGCATGTACATATTTACTAGAAGAAACCAGAGATGGTGTTTCAGAAAAGCAGAAAAGGTTGTGAGCAAGAGTGAACCAAATGATCAGCTTTCGTGTGTTTGGAACAGAGTATATTTGACCCAAGTTAGGCTTTATTAAGCCTTCTGTGTTAATGATAGGTGGTGCTGATTGGCCATGGGAGAAAAAGAATAAAAGAGTTTCCTGTACTGTTAAATCAGAAAAATAATGTTATGTTGATTTTTTTGGACAGGAGTGGGGAGCGGTGTGTAGACTTGTAATTTCATTAGGGTAGCAAACTCCCAGTGTGGAAACTCCCTTCACTGTGGCAGATCATCAGCCATTCATCTGCAACTTACAGTCTTAGAGAGTTGCCTGGGAACACTGTGAGGTTAAATGACTATCTTCAGTTTTACGTCAGAGGCAAGAAAAAAGGAAGGAACGAAGGAAGAGAGGGATGGAAGGAAGGAAGGATAGAGGAGCAAGGGAAGAAGGAAGAAGCACCTACTATGTGCCAGGCACTGGACTAAGCAAATATTATCTCATTTGATCTTCACAACGGCCCTGGGAGGGAGGTACTATTATTATCCCCATTTTATGGTTGAGGAAACTAAAGCAAGCAGGGAGTAAGTGACTTGTCCAGGATCACACAACTAGAAAGTATCTGAGGTTGGATTTGAACTCGGGTCTTCCTGACTCAGTGATCTATCTTCTTCACTGCCTATCTAACACTTACTGGTTGTGTTACTTCTAAGCCTATTTCATCATCTATAAAGCAACTCTTAAATGTATATAGTACTTTAAGATTTGAAAACACTGGGGCAGCTAGGTGAGGCAGTGGACAGAGTATTGGCCCTGGAGTCAGAAAGACCTGGGTTCAAATCTGGCCTCAGGCACTTATTAGCTAAGTGACCCTGGGAAAGTCACTTAACCCTAATTGCCTCCCCTCAAAAAAAGAAAACTCTTTACATAAATGATCTCACTAATGTAGAGGAAGCATGGTATAATGGATAGAGAGTCAGGATGACTTTGATTAAGACCTAGCTCAGAGATCCTCCCTTTGTGGCCCTGGGTAAGTCCCTTCCTTATTCAGTGTCCCCATAAAATTGTCTAAGACTATAAGCTGCAAAACAGTTATTGATTGATCTGTATTGGGAGAGAGAGTTAGCTCAATACGAGCCTCCCATTCCATTGAAACCACAGGTTCAGACAAAAAAAAACAATTAAAATGGAGATAATCACACTTGCTCTACCTGCCATAATGAATGGTTATGAGGAAAGTACTTTATGAATATGAACTGCTCTAGGCAAAATATATTCTTACTGAAGCCTGTGAGTGATAGCATACAATAGAGTATTGTGGGCACATACTTCTTCATCCCTTACCACCACTTTAAGAGGCAGAATCTGTCTGTTAATGTCCCACATTTGCCAGAAGTTTTGGATTTTCTCCATTCAGGGCTTATTTCCTGTCTTCCAATCAGTTCATGTGAGGTCCTGCAGCCCTGTAGCCATCCCTAACCAAAGGATTCCTGCATATAATAAATAGAAGGTATAACCAGCAAAGGAAGGTGAAGACAGCTACTCCCCAACCTTGTCATCAGCACCCCATCATAACCAACAATCACCATTGCTGTGGATGCTGGGATAATTATCATGCTTATAAAGTGACTCAAAGGCTTTTAACCAATTCCACTATCCTCAGATCAGATTACTGTAGCACTCAACAATTCTGACACCTGTTTGATGCAAATAATTCATTAGGATATAAAGAGGTTTTAAAAACAATCATTTATATGAACTTGAAACAAAACTAATCAGGCATACTTTAAAATGAACCTCCATTAACAATTGTCCAATAACAATTTATCAGTTCCTCTCTCTGATGTTCCCTTTCCATTTTCTTTATATCTGTGTATGCACTCCACAAACAAACACACACACACACACATTCTTTTAAAAAGGCATGTGAAGGGGCAGCTAGGTGGTGCAGTGGATAGAGCACTGGCCCTGAAGTCAGGAGGACCTGAGTTCAAATCCGGCCTCAGACCAAACACTTGACACTTACTAGCTGTGTGACCCTGGGCAAGTCACTTAACCCAAATTGCCTAAAAAATAAAAAATAAAATAAATAAATAAATTGTAATCATAAAAAGGCATGTGAAGCACCATGCTTTGCATAGTAGATAAAGTCAGGAAGACCCAAGTTCAAGATATACCTTTGACACTTAGTAGCTGTGTGATCCTTGGCAAATCATTTAGTCTTTCAGTAACTCAGGTAACTTTCTAGGACTCTAGGACTGGTAGTGCAGTGGATAAAGTACCAGGCCTAGAGCCAGGAAGACTCTTCCTGAGTTCAAATCTGGCCTCAGACATTTACTAATTGTGTGACCCTGGGCAAGTCACTTACCCCGTTTGCCTCAGTTTCCTCATCTGTAAAATGAGCTGGAGAACAACATGGCAAACCACTACAGTACTTTTCCAAGAAAACCTCAAACGGGATCATGAAGAGTCAGACGTGATTGAAAACAATAGAAGAGTAGTTGATCTGTCTTGGTGGAGGGAGTTTCCTCATCAGGAGTTCCCTGTTTTAAGAAAAATCACTGATCTAGACCAACACAACAAAAAAATAAGTAGGTTGATACCTACTTTATATGTACAAACTATTCTTCTGTTGTTGCTTTCTTAATTTTGCACTATGACATTTTTATATTCCTGATATTTGTCGCCTTATTGGAACCATAAGCATTCTGTTAGACAAGGTGCCCAAATGTCTTGGTGCATTTTTGTTTCACACTTTTAAAACTGCACCAAAACTTTTGGGACACAGTTTCTATCACAGTTTGTGCAGCCAGCCCTCTGGACATTTAGGTAGTTTGTAGTTTTACAGATTAGGTCACGGACGTCTAGACACCTGAAGGGACTCATTCAAAGTCACAGAAGAGGGTTGGAGATAGGATTCGAACCCTGATCATCGGACTCCAGAGCTAGAGCTCTCACCACTGTGCTGTGCTATCTTCTGAGAGAGGCCTCACTTTTGTATTTTGGTCAAAATCTTGGAGCAAGAATCTAAAATGTAGCTAGCAAAAATCAAGAACCCAGGAACTGCGCTCCCAAGTTGGCAATATAGAAAGAGATAGAGTGGTTCAGCAGAATGAACCCTGGAACTGGATTCAAATTCTGCGTCTGGCACCCAGTACGACCATGGCATTAGTCATAATTTAACCTCTCTAAATTTCAGATGGCCTCTGAGATTTGTGATCCTAATTCTAAAAGAATATATTTATGGCAGCTAATTATTCCTCATTATTCTTCTAAAATGATTGACATTGGGGCTACCATACAAACATACAGCCTGTTTTGTTCCATATTTGTAGATACTCCCTGCTTTGTAATTCTGGGCTGGAGAACTACTTGTGTTGAAAAACCAAGCTATGCCACTAGAATACCCACAATGGAAGATTGTGTGTTCCCAGTAAAGCTTCCTATAACTTAGAGTAAAAGAATAAATTCAAAACCCTTCTTGGAAGGAGAATCAGCTGCTCTGCCATGTTGTTTTGAAAACACAGTATATAAATTATACCTTAAATACTGCACTAACTTGACCCTCTTTAAACAGTTCCTCTCACTGTTCTCCATAAAATGTTTCAGAGAGCACTGCCTGGCTGTAAAGGATCTATTCTGCACAAAGGAATGGTTGACACTGGAAGAAAAATCCCACAGAGGCCTGTACAAATCTGGACTGCATCTGCTGACTTTGCCTGAATGCACCAAGCTTCCCAGCATGCACAGGGAGCCCATGGCTTGTATAAAAGTGCCACATTTAGGTAATGCAGAATCCTCTGTCTCAGAGGTTCTTTTTTTTTTTTTTTTTGAGGCAATTTGGGTTAAGTGATTTGCTCCTGGTCACACAGCTAGTAAGCATTATGTGTCTGAGGTCAGATTTGAACTCAGGTCCTCCTAACTCCAAGACCAGTGCCCTATCTACTGCCCCACCTAGATGCCCCATCAGAGGTTCTTAACCTGTAGCCCACGAACTTTTTTTTTAAAAAAGTATTTTGATAACTGTGTATCAGTATAATTGGTCTCCTGTTTATTCTTATGTATTTTATTTCATGTATTTAAAAATACTATGCTAAAGGGATCCATGACACCCCGCCCCACGAAAAAAAAATAGATTAAGAACCCCTGCTTTACCTAGTATTTAGAAGAGACTAAGAGGGATGTGTTCCAGGAGCCAAGTTACACTCATGAATTGACTCTTTCTTTCCTCAGGATAAAAGGAAAATTAGAATACCTAGTTTAAAAGGTCATTGTAAAAAATAAATAAATTCATTTGAAACCTATTGGAGTCTTCATCCTTACCTGGAGCCTGGCCTTACTTCAGAGTGGATCTTTACCAGATCTGAGTAACTTTCTTTGGAATGTTGAGAGCAAAAGCTAGGACTTGCCCTGGGTTGACCTAGTCAGAGGAGGGAAGGACTAAGATCCCCTTAAAAAAAAACAAAAAAAACAAAAAAAACAACTCTCCAGAGCAGCTTGAAGCAGATATTTAAGCAAAAATCCCCATTACCATGTGCTCCAAACTGCTGACCTCACCAAACAAAGTTGATCAGCTCCATGTTGCCATAATGAGCTTTATAAGTGGCCAAGTGGTTATCCCAAACATCTGGGGTGATTTCGGGGAAATCTATCTTTCTCATGAGTGGGAAAGAATGCTTTCCCGCTACATACTGTAAAGCTGAGAAATGATTTGTATTTCTTAATGAGCTCTCACAGAATAATTGGAAAACCTACTCTTCATTTTTTTTTTATGTTCACCCTTCTCCCCCCTCAGATTTAAAAAGAAATAACACAACAAGTAAGTAGCTTTGTGTGTGTTCTTGAATCCTTGTGTGCATTTCATTGGTAACCTGCATGTTTCTTTGCATCCTTCACCTTAATCAGATTAAAGACATGGAACTCCAAAGGCCTTGGAACATTTTTACATAGCATCAAACTTGGGGCCTCATCATTTGATCATACTAGTAGCTTACACTGAAATATGCGTTGTGATTAACATAGCCCCCCTCAGGACTGAACCTAGAATTCCATTCCCTAGGTGAGGAAATTCCCTCCACTAATACAAGCTGGCACCTTCTCTATAACCTTTCATTTAAGAATGCTGCCTAGAGTAGTAGTATCAAACTCAAGAGAAATGGAGACCACTAAAGGGCATTAGGGACTGTTGTGGGCTACAGGTGTCTGATGCCAAACACCTAGAGCACTAATAGGTTAAGTGACTTGAGCAGGGTCACAGAGGCAATATGTATCAGAGGCAAGACTTGAATCCAGGTTTTCCTGGCTTTGAGGCTAATTCTTTATCCACTATCCCATGGCTACTTCAAAGTTGTTAGGGAGACCAGATGGTAGAGTGGATCGAGAGCTTTCCTTGGAATCAGGAAGATCTGGGCTCATGCCCTACCCCTGGCACTTAAGTGATGTGTGACTCTGGAAAGTCTCAGTGCCCTAAGCACCTAAGACTAGAATCTTCTGATCTACATTAATAGAGGAAGTTTATCACTGGGAGTGTCCTACAATGATGAAATCATGGAAAAAGGAGAAGGAGGAAGAGGAGAAGGAGGAGGGGAAAAAATAAACTGGACTTAGGGTCAAGAGACCCAGGTTCCAGCCCTAACTGCTATCTTAACTATCCTTGTGACCTTGCAAGGTCACAACCTCTCCTAGTCTAAATTTCTACTCATGTGAAATAAGGGTGCTAAACAAGAAATATAGAAAGAGAGAGAGAAATATCTCAAAACCTCCAAAGTGATTTGGTAGATAACTTCTAAAGGTCCCTTCCAGTGCTAGGGTTCTCTGAATGGCATTATGCCATTTATGATCTGAATCAAACCATAAAAGTGCCGTTCTCATTTTCAATGCATGATTTATGCTTACATGGAGAAAGTGAAAGATAACTGATGAATTCAGCCTCTGTGCTGAATGTCTCTACACTCAATGTCTGGAGAGCCTGAGGAAAGACCCCAAAACATTGGATGAACCCTCTGTGGAGGATTATTGGGAGGACATGAGAGTCACAGAGGAGGAGAGTGCATGGAGAAATTTTTGATCTACATCCTCTAAAGAAACATCTAAATTAGTGAGATCTGATCAGATGTCACTCAAAAGACTCACAGATCCACTGAAGCATTGAATTAGATTTATGTTCCCCCAATACTAATTGTAGATATATAAAATTATTCCTATAGTAAGCTGTGCACATGATTCCTTCATTATAACTGTAAGCATTTTTTTAATTCTTTCATTTTTGAAGGCATCTACTTCTCCAAAAACCCGACTGAAATCTCATGTTGTAGAGGTGACCTTAGCTTTTCCAAGATTGTACTAGCAGAGCACAAACACTGGAAAGGTTCCAGATATGGTAACAAAAACAGACTCTGCCTGTTGTATGCAGACAAGCCTAGCTAAATGCCAAGAGGCTCATCACCAGCTTACTGGCTGGACAATTGGTGGTGAATTATCTGACCATTGATGTCTATGAAACAAAGAAAAATACAGAAAGGCCTCCAGGCCTATGTTGCCTCTTCTGCTTTTGCAGTGATGGTGGAAGAGTGACAATTTTTGTACCACTTACAAACATTAATTTAGAATTTTGTATTCTTAATGTAAGATTCTTGTTCCATTACATTACTGGATTACATTGATACATTACTAGAGAAATTGGACCATATCCATATTCACATTTACCTCATAAATTGAACCATAAAACATAAGGAAGTTGTAGTTTAATGGAAAGATGACTCTTAGATTCTGTTTGGAGGGAGGGACAAACAAAGGCATCAACCGAGTGCATTATACTATCCACCAAAAGCAACAAGAAATATTTGATGAGACACTTAGTCATGTCCTATTGCAATGCTCAAGACAAATATAATAAAAAGACTAATAATTAATTTAATTGTACCTATGAGTCAACATTGGTTCCAGAGGATAAAGAAGGCAGTGAAATACTCTGAAGAACCTGTTAAATCTTCCTAAGCAAATCAACTTATACGTTGATATCTTGGGACTAGAATGAGAAGATATATGGGCACAGAAAAGAATAATAAAAAATATGTAGGGAAAATATATAGGATTAAGAAATGGAAAGGGTCAATGGCTTGTAGATCATTCAAAAGCCTCCCACTTATATATATATCATGAATACTGTATTCAAGAAGAGAGTTAGAACACATCAGACATGGTAAGCACTAAAGAACAGCACAAAACAAATGAAATTAAAAATATCTTAATAGACAAGAAACAACTGGATACAGGTAAGTCATTTACCAACCAGGTATGTAGTCACACAATTGGCTAGTGAGGATAAAAGTCAAAATCAACAATAAATGATATAAAAACACACTGCATATACTTATAACAGCTCAAAGTTCACCTATTTAAATAAGATGCAGTCACTAAAAAGTAGGAAATTTCAAAGGAATAGAGACTGATTCTAATTACTAGTATTTCCTTTAGAAGTTTAATTGATATAAAGCAACCACTAGAGGCCAAAAGAATGCATAAATTTCCTTAACCAGCAAGCACTTGATCTTTCTACTTGAAGAAAAATGGCAGCCAAAGGCAATGCCAATTTAGAAAATTCATATGCAAAACTTTGGAAAAAGGGGAAGATGGAAGATTATAAGCAGTCTTGCTCACAAAACAGCAAAGAGCAGTAGAAGGGAAAATAAGCTTGCAGAAGACTAGAGGTGGAACCCAGCTAAGTCAAGTCATTTTGAAAGTATTTAATAATGAAACTAGAAGAAGAGAATAGAAAGATATAAAATGAAACCTGTCCACCAGAATTTCTAGTGAGTCTGTTTTCTTTCACCAATGACATGACATTTGGGTTTGAACTGCTAAGTTTCTGAGGCACTTTATGATTAAGTGGAAATGACACTTAAGAAAATGAAATTGAGAAAAGCAATTAGACTAGACTGAATCCACACAGAAAAATATCCATGCTGGACACAAAACAATTTTGAAAGTATTATGTGATCAATTTCCAAAATGTATGAAAGACCAGAAACTAAATGATGTGGTTGGATATCTTATGTGGTATTATAACCAAAAAAAAAAAAAAGGCAGGAGAAAACCAATAACAAACAAAGAATATGGTGGTTTTCACCTCTATAAATTTTTTCTAAGAATGACTTACTGATGTATTAAGAACACCCCTGATGAAGATAAAAGAAGGAAATAGATGGACTTTGACAACTGCAGACCATACTTCCATAATCACTCAACTGGCCAAAAGATATCAAGAATGTTAGGTGCCACTATTTTTTAATGATTTTTGGTAATAAAATAGCAGCAAATAGGTTGTTCAGTGGATAGAGTATTAGAACTGGAGTCAGGAAGAGTCAAGTTCAAATCTGGCCTCAGACACTAGATGTGTAACCCTGGGCAAGTCACTTAAACTCTGTCTTAACCTACTGGGGAAGGAAATGGCAAACCACTCTAGTATCTTTGCCAAGAAAACCCCATGGACAGTACGGTCTATGAGATCACAAAAAGGCAGTCACGACTGAACAACAACAAATAATATTGGACTTGATGGCATAACACGACGTCTTAAAGGCACTTCTCTAATGCGCACACCAACATAATCTGAAGATTCCTTGATAGACAAAACCACAGCAATAACCCAGGGCAGGACTCCTCTTAGGATTTAACAACACACCTAAAACATCAAGATATGTTCTTGCCAGCTTTGTATCTTAAGAGATTAAATGATTTGCCCACTGTCAAACAGAATCTGAGGCAGGATTTGAACTCAAGTCTTCCTGACTTTAAGTCCAGCACTCTCACTAGCTAAAAACAAAAACAGAACTATATCTTATAGTTAGAAGGATAACACTGAATCAATACATAAATCTAGTACAGGCCCTGAGGAATAATGAGGAAGAAAGTGGAACAGATTACACTTGAGAATATTTATAATTGCCTCCTAACTAGCTTTCCTCCTTCTAGTCTGTCCCTTCTCTGATCCACCTTTCACACTTACTGCAAAGTATCTTCTCACCACGTTTCCATAATCATACCACTCCCCTACTCAGAAACTTTCAGTGGCTTCCCATTGTCAACCACGTAAAAGCATTTAGTCCAATATTTTTCTTCCCTCCCTGTTCCTCCTTGGCTCACCTATGAATATGGTAGCAAGCAACCTAAAGACATATATCTCAGAGAAGCTACAAAGCATAGCCAAGGAGGTATAGACTTAATGCCATCAAACTGCCAATGAATTACTCTATAAAAGTAGATAAAAGAATCACAAGATTCATTTGAAAGAACAAAAGATCTAGAATGCTGAGGGAAGCAACAGGGACAAAAGTAGTAATGACAGGAGAATAGAGTTACTAGATTTTAAACTAAATCAATTAATATCAATGTTATTGTTGATATTGATTATTACTGTTATTAATGTCTATTATATTAATACAGCGTATTAACATGTGTTATATGATATAATTGTGTCACAATATTTTATTTTATGTTCTAATATATTATGTATTGATACGATACATAATGTAATGTGTTAGAAATAATATGTGACATAACTGTATTATATCTATATTATATTAATAATTATTAACAAAATATAAGTGTACATTAAAATGACATCAATATAATATAGAAATATAGTCATGTGTTATAATAATATACAAACATATTATATATCATAATATAAATATATTATAATCTATAATATTTTTGTAATGTTATAATATTGACATTATCGTTCATGTTTCTCACCAAAATAACTTGACACTCACTGAAAAATAGAAAAGAAGTAGCTCGGGAATAGTAGAGAGAAAG